CCGCGTCCCCACACTGCCGGCCCATGTTCATTTTGGCGTCAATGATGACTCCAAGATCCTTTTCTGCCTCTGTATGGACGAGAAGGGAGTTCCTCCGCCTGTAGGTATGGTGCTGGTTCTTCCTCCCCAGGTGCAGCACCTTGCATTTGTCAGTGTTGAAACCCATCCTGTTCTCATCTGCCCACCCCTGTAACCTGTCTACGTCTGATTGCAGCCTCCTAGCATGCCCACATCCCCCCACATCTTAGTGTCGTCTGTGAATTTGAACAGGGTGCTTTTTGCCCCCTCGTCCAAGTCTCTGATGAAGATATTGAACAGTGCGGGTCCAAGGACAAAGCCCTGGGGAACCCCACAGCCCACATCCCTCCAGGTTGAAAATGACCCATCCACAACCACCCTCTGGGTGCGGCCCTCCAGCCAGTTTGTGATCCATTTGACTGCGTAGGTTTGACGCCACAGTCCCCTAGTTTTTTAATGAGCATGGGGTGAGAGAGTGTTGAAGGCCTTCCTAAAGTCCAGAAAGACTGTGTCCACTGCTACCTCTGCGTCTAAGGATTTTGTGACCTGAAAACTTGGAAAAACTTTTGACCTCTAACTTGGAAAAAAAATGGGGAAAGGAAAAAATGGGGGTAACCATGCCTACACCCTGCCCCCTTTAAATTGGGGAGAAGTCTTTGGTGTCTGAAATAGGGGAGGACTGATCTGAGCCAGTGTCAGATGTGGAGAGGGATGGGCCCTGTACAAGAACCTAAATAAAAGGCAATTCAGTTCCACATAGCAAAGTTCAGCAGAGCAAAGGAACAAGCACCTGCTAATCTCAGATGTGATGATGAGACTGTCCTTACAAAAAAAAAAAAAGAATCCCCCAGTCCCCACAGCAAAACAGTGAACGGGCCAGGTTTCAGATGTATCTGGGCCTTGCACCTTGGTCTTGTATGTTTGCAACAACCTCCTTTAACCATGCTAAAGCATTGAAAGCCTGATCCAAAGAATACTGAAGTTGACAGGAGTCTTCCCATCAGTTTGGTGGGGCTTAGATCAGGCTGCTTTCTAGTGACCTGTGTAGGCAGATGCCAGTTCACAGGGGGCTTAGCCTCCTTTGAAAGTTTATGCCCACCTTTATTTTGATTTAAAAATTGGACTCAAAGGACCAGATACTCAGCTGTTGTAAATCAGCCTTGCTCCATTGAAAAAAAATCAATGGAGCTGTGTTGGTTAACACCAGCGAAGACCTGGGCCAGAGACAGAAATGATCACGTGGTGATTTCCATGCCTAGAGTTAAGCAGGTGGTTGGGCATTTGCAAAGTTGGCATCCTAAAGCATAACCAATGTCACTTGGCAAGGTTATACTTCTGTCTTCTGGTGATGAAGTTACTTTGACTGTGCGTCTCATCAGGCATACAGAATGCACCTGCAGTGGCTTTCTATTCTCTTATTTTTGTGTGACTTGAACACAAGAATAACTCCAAGAGGTTCCCACTCTAGAACTTCTCATGTGTTCCAAGTAGCTGGAGAGGATCTATGGGCTCTCATTGGGGGTTTCAAACTTGCAACAGGCAAGAGTTTTGAGATCATGGCTCATATATCCAGTGGGGCTGGTTGTGAACATTCTGGAGATGAGGAAGTTCAATTCTTAATGTCATTTCTTTGCACCCTCTGATTTTAATACTTTGACATTTACTGAACTGTGTGGTTCCCCTTCCTCAATTCCTGCTGTTTGTAGGAAAAGTCCTGCAGAGTTAAAGAGGTCACACTTTCTAAAGTGACATTAAAATGCCAGACCCAGATCTTTCTTCATTTCTGAAGCAACAAAGACTTAGCTGTCACTCCCCTCAAACTAGCCTGTCAAGGCTTAGGAGGGCAATTCTCTTCCCCCTCTAATAGGCCTAGTTATATCCATACTCTCACTGGGCAATCTAGTGCACCCCCAGAGGTTGATCCTGTTCTGCAAAGAAATATGCACATACCTACTTTTATTCTTCCCTCAGCAAGCAGAGAGGGGGACAGCCAAAAGATGGTGGGATCTAGTTGGGTTTTATCTTGATTTCTTTTAGATGTTGTTCTTGGGAGATGTCAAGAACCTTATCTGGAAGCTGCAAGGACATTCAAACTTTTTATTTGGTTGCTTAGATTATTTCTTGCCTTCACAATTACTCAATTTATTCTCTTAACTGCCAGTCTGACTGCTTCAGAATTGGCTGCAGATGTGCTGTTTACACACTAATGTTTGAGGACCAATACCACAGCACAGAAGGTGATTTTAAGGGGAGGATATTTTTAAAGGGCATCAACTTAATCTCCAATTTTGCTCCTACAGTAAAATGTGGGCAGAGTTTTGCAGGTGCAGTTTATGACCTGAAGCTCTCTGGTGTGTGGAATCACCTGGGTAGCTATAGTATAACACACTATAAATTGCTCCTGCACTTATATGCAGCTACAACACTGTATTCAAAATGTATTGTGGGTGTAAACTTGCAGATGTGGAATCATAAATGGCCTTTGAAATTAGACCCAAGGTAAGTGAATTCTTTCACTGCTGCTCTACAGAAATCTGCAGCTTCACTGAAACTGCCTGCTTATACCAGCAATGAATTTGGTGCAATGACTTAACTATAAAATGCAATTAAAACTATTGTAGTTCATTTTGAAACAGCTGTTGTTTCTGAAGCAGCTAGCAAATGTTCTTTGAACCATGTTATATGAAGAGCTGTTTTTTGATGATAAGCTTCCCCATGTCTGTCTGTCCTTCCAGTTGTTTGATCGGGAGCTGTGTATCCGGCAGCTGCGGTATTCAGGAATGATGGAAACCATTCGGATCAGAAAGGCTGGCTACCCAATTCGCTACAGCTTTGCAGAGTTCTTAGAGAGATACAGAGTCCTGCTGCCAGCATCTGCTAGAGAACAGGTGCGTCAGCAGAAACTTGCTTAAATGCTAATCCAACCTTTCCTTGGAAGGCTTTTGGGGGAATATGCTCTGTTTCACAGCTAGAATTAAGTTTAAAATGCAACTGGATCACAGCCCACTTAGTCAAATGATCTGTCACCAGGATAATCAGCCTCTGCTTTGCAGGTTAACTTTAGCTCAAGTGGTAGAGGTTTATGCTTTTTGAATCCAGGAGTCCTGGGCTTGAATTCTCTAGATGACTCCACCAGGCATAGCATTTGTCTGGTGATATATTTCACTGGGCCAACTATGCAATTGGGAGAGATATCAGACCAATATCTGGGCATAAAATGCCTTCATGCCTGAAAGCTCATCTAGCATCTCTCCCAATTGCATAGTTCGTCCGGGAAAAGACTTTACCAAACAAAATTTGCTTCTCCCTTATTCCCTGGATCAAGGCCACAAAACCACTACAACAGGACTGTAATTCTTGAGCTTTAGGACATAACCATTCTTCATAGATTCACTCCTGAGACCTCTGTGAACTGAGAAGTAAACACTGACCTGCCTCTTGATCCATGGACTTCTGCACACAAGCACTAACATACTTTCTGTGTTCAATCCTGGAATACTTTAGACCTTAGCCATTTCCATGCTTTGCACACTGAATTCCAGTTTGTCAGGCTGCAGTCATTTCTGTTCTTCACCCTGTGAAACACCAGTGCCAGAGATGTTTTATATCACACTAGTTCTGTATTACTAACCATGCTTTAATATGATGATTTTTTGCATCAGCAACAGAATGATGTCCGTTGGTGCTGCGTGGTGATTTCTGAGAAGGTCATAGGCAAAGATGGAGGCTGGCAAGTTGGAAGAACCAAGATTTTCCTCAAGGTAAGTAACAAAGGTGTTTGCTGTCACATGCAGTAACATGAAAAAAGGGATGTTGAGTGAGTTGCAGGAAATGCATGTTAAGGACCATAAAAACTCTGTCCAGCATCTCAAGAGTGCACAACATAGCTCAACAGGTATCTCTGTGCCACCAAATAGCACTGCACATCTCCCACCCACTTCTGTTCTTCACTAATAAGATGGAAGAACATGTTGTATTTTATAACTCTGCTAAAATTCAGAGGCTACGTCTTATTACAAGGGTGTTTCAGAAAGTAACAGCACAATGGCTTCCCATGCTGTATGTCTGTGGGAAACCACACAGCAGTGGAAAACACTAATGGTGGCCTTATCAAATGCATCCATCCTTTACACATGTGTAGAGAAGTTATGTGGTCCAGTAAATGATTATTGCACACAAAATAGCTTTATTTTGAAATTGCCATTGTTTTCTGAAATATTTTCATGTGCTATAGGTGAATTGTTTGCTTGTGGACAGCTACAGCCAGATGCTGTGGCAAGGTGCTGCATGAATAGCCATGCACACTTTCATTAATATGCTTTGATCCCAACCTTCAGCACTCTTGCTAATTTTGGGCCTCTTCAGCAGAAGTGCAGCCATTGTGCCAGTTTGCTTGGGTCTCTCTTATAGGATTATCATGATACAACCTTGGAGGTGCAACGAGAAAAGGAGCTTACAAACAAGGCCATTCTTATCCAGAAAGTGCTGAGGGGATTCAAGGACAGGTGAGTGCTTTGAAAGGGCACAAGGGTTTGGGGTTGTATAAAATCAGAGCATATCCTATTCCCCCTGTGGTTGAACACAACATACTTAACGATGCATTGTGTAAAAGCTGACCAGGGAATAGGCAGTCAGCCTAGTTGTTTGCAGTAACTGAGGGGTTTACCAGAGTGGAAGCCAAGGTCAAAGCCAGATGTGAATCTAAGTTCCAGAATGTCAAGAAAGCATCATGGTCAGAGCAAGTAGTAGATCCAGGCCAGGAAATCCAGGGCAGTAACAAATCTTTCCTGGAGTCACAGGACAAGGCTCCTATACTGCTACGCTAAGAAATGCCTTTGCTGGGATAAGACCCTGCAGGAAGCAGGAGGGTTTTATAAACCCCCATCAGGCACATAAGGCTCCCATTAGTCCTCCCCAATTCATCTGGTTCCCCATTAGAGATCTTATGAGAGGAGCCAGGCTGAGCTGAGTCTGGCATTTAGCCAAGTGCCTGGTGGCACTACAGCCTGTGTTTCTACCTGATAGTGCCCAAATTTCAGGTTTGCGCCCCCAGGGGTCCTACTACACTGATACTGTCCGATATAGAATGTATCAAGCCTGAGTTTACATCAGTGATGTGGAACTCCTAAAGAGATAGGCAAAGGTTTTGCCCTTAGACCTGCTCTTTCTCTGTTTCATTTTATCATAGTGGTCTAGAAAATACAGGACCTTGGAACGCTTATTTTACAGAAGGGTAGATAGGCTGTCCAAGACCTCTCTTTTACAATCCACAATGAATACTAGTGTTTTGTCCAGCTTGCTTGGAAAAGTCTGTACCCATCTGTCCGTAACTGTTAACACTCTTAAAGTTGTGATTTTTATCTTAATTTTGGCCAAGCATCAAAGTGTTTTAAGGATGAATTCTATCTTTGGGAATGCTTTCATCACTGAGTAAACAGTGTTAACCACCCTGTGCTCAGTGCAAGAGCTCTTACTGTAGAAGGCTTGTCTTATTCAGATAATTGAGTATGGCAACCATTATCAGTTATGAGGAGGATTCTGAGTATATGCTGTCAGACAGGTGGGGTTCACTGCTTAGGTTTAACTTCTGGGAACAGGGCCACATTCCCAGCATTCCACGAAGCTACGTCATCAACGAAGTTGGCCCAGAAATAATTGTGAGGCCCTTACTGGATCATGAAAGTAAGAAAAGGAGTGGGGGGAGGAGTTGGACACATTCTTAGAAGAAAACAGCATCAGTAACTGTTGAACATGGAAGGTAGTGGTACAGCCTCTGAATTGGACTTCCTAGACCTTAAATGCTGGAGGCTGCAAGTGAGAGAGGAATAGTGGAAAAAAACCCTAGGTCACTCTCCCTTTCAGCATCCACTCTCTGTCACTGTGTGACTCAAGGTACTGGGCAAGATGGACCTGTGGTCTCACCCAGTAAATGGCAATTCTTATGTTCTTAACTGAACTCCTTGGGTCAGGTTGGATTCCTGGTGCTCTTTCTACCCTCTCCTCACCATCAGCAAGTGGATGACAAGTCATGGGTGGAATTATTTGGCCCATGTTATGCAGGAAATTAGATTATATTCTCCTAACAGTCCAACCTTACCTGTTATGTGTGGGCTGCAGGCAGACAAAATGCTATAACCAAGGTTATGTTTGTGCTGCAGTTGCAGAAGTGACTGTAATGTACAGACATATCCAAGATAGCTTTAAAATATCTCACTTGGGCAGAAGTGTAACTGGCTGATTGTATGACCTGGGCACTGGTGGTACATGGTACAGGGGCAGTGGTTGGAGGTTTGCTGTTGCAGGGGCAGATGTCAGCTCCTTTTTGCTATGGAGATGTGTGCCAAGTGGACATTCAAACACTGATTTTTTTGCAGGGAAAAAAAGGAGGTAACATTGCCCCTAGTAGCAGTGAATCTTTTTACTGCTGATCCTACACTGAGCACCACCATGGCTTTTCTGCCCATCCTGCTGCTGGAGCCAAAGCTGCTGCAGGGAAGATGCAGGGTGCCTGGATGGGAGGCCCCTCTACCTCAATTTTGGTGTCCCTCCCATGGGTAGCCCATACGTTGTTATGCTACTGGTGTTTGAGAACTGGTAGCAGTTTAGCCATAGGAGCATGGAGCACAGCACAGGCTGTAAAACCTGCTGAAGAAGCAGGGTAAATCAGCTCATTGTGAGGTCTGTGCTGCCATGGGGTAGGCGGCTACCCGTAGCCATGCTAGGTATTTTAAAACTGGCTTGGATATGTCTAGACATTACAGTCAAGTCAGGATTTTAAGCAAGCTTGGATATCTCTGCACTGCATGATAGTTACTTAGAATAACAGAAAATTCAGGCTGAAAGGGACCTCAGGATGTCATCTAGTCCAACTCCCTACTCAAAGCAGGACTATCACCACTTAGATCATCCCAGCCAGGGCTTTGTCGAGCTCAGCCTTAAAAACCTCCAAGAATGGAGATTCCACCACCTCTCTAGGTGTAACCAATTCCAAATCCAGTGCTTCACCACCCTCCTAGTGACATTTTTTTCCCCTAATATCCAACCTAAATTTCCCTTGCTGCAACTTGAGAACATTGCTCCTTGCTTTGTCATCTGCCACCACCGAGAACAGTCTAACTCCATCCTCTTTGTAGCCACCCTTCAGGTAGTTAAAGGCTGCTATCAAATCCCACCTCAGTCTTCTCTTCTGCAGACTAAATAAGCCCTGTTCCCTCAGCCTCTCCTCATAGGTTACATGCCTCAGCACCTTAACCATTTTTGTTGCCCTCCGCTGGACTCTGTCCAACTTGTTCACTTCCTTTCTGTAGTGGGGTGCCCAAAACTGAACACAATACTCCAGATGTGGCCTCACCAGTGCAGAATAGAGGGGAATAATTACTTCTCTCAATCTGCTGGCAATGCTCCTAATAACAGCCCAGTATGCCGTTAGCCTTCTTGGCAACAAGGGCACACTGACTCATAGCCAGATTATTATCCACTGTAACTCCCAGCTCCTCTTCTGCAGAGCTGCTGCTTAACCAGTTGGCCCCAAGCCTATAGCGGTGCATGGCATTATTCTGTCCTAAGCGCAGGACTGTACTTGTTGAACCTCATGAGATTTCTTTTGGTCCAGTCCTCCAATTTGTATGAGTCATTTTGAATCCTAGAATCCTACACTTCTTGAGTGCTGGGTAGGTGTACTCTGAGGGTCTGGTGCATGGGTGTTGAGTGTGGAGAGTATAGGCTAAGAGGAGAGAGTCATCACTTCATTCCTACCTCTTGTCCTTGTCTTAGTTCTGCCATTTCTTATCAGAGTAAACTTTTATTCCCTTGCCTGCCTTTAGGAAGCAGTTTCTGATGCAGAGACGGTCTGCTGTGGTCATTCAGACAGCTTGGAGGGGTTATTACTGCAGGAAGAATTTCAGGCTGGTAAGAGGCATGGTTCTGTTCCTGAACATATAAATACTGTACTTTACATGGCTCTGTATAAAGTTAATAAAGAAGATGGCTCAGAAATAAGAGGTGACTGTGTATGAAGGGGAAGGGTATTCAGGGCCCCAAAAGGATTCTAGATCATCTTTATCCTTACTGGGTGTATCTACATGTGTGCTTTACTGCAGAGTTGACTAATTAGCTCTGCAGTATAGTGTCACTGTCTTTGAGTGCCCCTATTAGGGTGCAGTAAACTAATTAACTCCACTGCAGGACAGTACTGTCTGAGACAAGTACTATCCTACAGTGGAGTCATTTAGTGTGCTGAAACCACGTATAGACAGTGACCAGTGCTGGCTGGGGCACAAGGGTGCTCCAGTGTGGTGGCTGCCTGTCAGCTAGCCATGCACTATAGCACTCTTGTGCCCTAGTCATGCCCTCTGCAGCACAATGTGCTGAGGAGGAGCAGCTCCAGACTGGCAGGCTGACCCCCAGTCCCCTGCTAGATGGGGCTGCTTCACCCCAGCTCAATGTGCTGCAGTCCTGGGCACATGTGTAAACACTGCTCCCAGGAGCAATAAACTATAGCACAAACTCTGCTGGAGTTTATTCTGGTGCATTAATAGCATATGTAGATGTGCCCACTGAATCCAAGACAATGCCCCCTTATTGGTAAAACAGTAACCCCGACTATCATCTGCTAGGCCTGGTGTAGCAGTGGCCTGGCTACTGCTTCACCAAAGTCCCATCCCTTATTTCCTGTGATCAACCATCTTGGTTTGAAGGCCAGCCATGTATGTTTCCCAGATAACAAATGAATAGTGCTGGTGAAGTTGTGAGAGGTGTCTTCCCTGGCCAATGTTTCAGTGAAGCTGTGGCATAAGCCATCTGTCAAAAATGACAGAAAAATTACTTTAAAAAAAGTTATGTCAAGGAAAATAACACTTGGACTTCCAAAGGAGGGATCTCTTGTGAGGAAAGAGTGAGCTCTGGGAGGAATTATTTTTGAGAATGGGAGAGGAAACCAGTTCTAAGATGTTGGCTGATTAGTGAGAAGAAACAAAAGCAGCCGTTTTCAGGCAGAAGTGTTTCCTTTTCTAAAACCAAACAGAAGCTCATGCGAACTCATCTTGATTCTAGCTCTGCACTCTGCTCTGTTCTTTTGCTGCTCAGTTTCATATAGTCAGACCCATTTTGCTCACCTCAATCTCATTTTCTTCTGTTTAGTCCACTTCAGTCCTTTTCCCTCCCTTTCCCTCACCCTCAGTCTCCTGGGAGTAATGTCATTCCTACAGATGCCATCTTTAATAAGTAACTTTTGGGTCCCTTGACATCCTAGTTTAAAATGCCTGTATTTATAACTCCAAGAAATAAAACATTTGCTTAGATGGCAATTTCTGGTAATTTCTTTCTGCATCTTGATTCTCTGTCCCAGTTCCGTATCTTCCATCGAGTTCAAGTTAGTCCCAGCTCCATTTTGCTTCAGGTTTGATCACTTCATGCTGTTCTTTCCCCCTTCTATAGGTCATGCTGGGCTTTGAGCGCCTGCAAGCCCTCTTTCGGAGCCGGCAGCTTGCTAAGCAGTTTGAAACAGCCCGGGCACATGTGATTAGGTTCCAAGCCCTGTGTCGTGGTTATCTGATGCGCCAGAAGATAGCTGAGCAGAAGAAAGCTGTGTGCATTATACAAGCATATGCTAGGGGAATGTTGGCTCGTCATAGTTTCCAGAGGATGAAGAGAGAGGTATGTGCTGTATGTTCAGCCAGTCATCTTTTAAACAGGATATTTCCTCTAGGATACTGTTCACAGAAGCAGCAAACTTCTTTGGGTAGCAGCTCCCCATTGCAATGGCTTTTGCATCCCCTACAAGTAAGGAAGCAGACTTTCTATCACATCACCTTCCTATAGTTACCACAGCAATGACTCTGAAGTTTTGACAGATGAGAGAGCAGCCTTTAACATATAACTCTTGTATGTTTGTCTTCTGTACTTAATAAATAAGATGACTTTAGATTAGAGCACAAGTGAGTTGGGGAAATTCCAAAAAATAACAAAGCAATTTTGATTAAAAAAAGAGCAGAGCCCATGCTGATTAGGATGAAGAGAAGAGAAAACAGACGTGGCAATGTAGAGAACATTAATATGTTTCAGTAGCATTGCAAAGGTGGTGTCTATAATGAAACCAACAGAGTAAATCCTAAAGCACTACAGTCTGGAATGCTCTAAGGGGTCCTATAGAGAAAATCTTATTTATCATCATACTGTGGCAGCACATGGGACCCTCAGCCATAAACCAGATCCACTTTGTGTTAGATATTGATTGTACAAACAGAACAAAGTCTACTTAGCTGCCTCTGTCTTTTTTTTTTTTTTTTTTTTTTTCC